CCCCCCCACACCACCACCTCACCCTCCACGGCTGCAACGCCAGCGCTCGACTTAGTTAAGTTCGTCTCATTGAATGTCCCCAAACACTGTGTGCTCACATGGCAGGATATAATTGATAAAGGGGTTAAATGATTCACCAGATGGTACAGGGCATTCTCAATGTGACCACCTTGTCTTGGTCTGAAAAATACAAGTTGCTGACCATGTTTTGATCTATGAAATATAATTTGAAAATAGATACTATTTTCCATGAGATATGTCACGCATGGGCAACATTTAGGAATATGCAGTATTATATAGATATAGTGTATAAATGAACGATTTAAGTGGTTTGAAAGTATATGTAAATTGACGTACCTATTTCCATATAAAGTATCCATATGTAACAGGAGAGGAAAAATGGACGACCGGGATTCGAACCAAGTACCTTCCGCACTCTACAGACGGACGCTCTTACCATATTTGTGGGTATATTTCGTTTGTCGCCAAATGTATCAGGACAGGGAAAATGAACGGCCAGACCATGATTCGAACCAGGGACCCTTCGGAACTCTTGACGGACGCTCTAACCGGTGGCCACCAATCGACCCAGTTCAGTTCCGCTATCAATCTAGTTACCAATCCTACTAATATCACAATAAGTAGAAATGTTTAATGTGTAATGACATCTTGAAAGCAAGCGCATGCTTAGACATATTTTTTTCAGAATAATTCAATATTCTAGAGACAGTACGGAGCCAGTCTCGCGCATGTGACCCGACATACTGCGTTAGTTATCTTAAATACTATATTGAGAGTTGAAAAAATGTTGTTGTTTTTTAGCTATATTTAGTGGCCAAAAATCCGTGTGAAAGTGCGTTTGATATTTAAAAAATAAAAATATGGTAGAATATAGAATCACAGGGACGAGAAAATGTCGCGGATAGAAATAGAAAGGGGCCAACTGTTCGTACTACCGATTACCCGCGGCCGGCCCGGTTAGACCATATATATACGTATTAATAGAAAGTTCTTAGCCGGTGAAAATTGTTCAAGCTAATGATCATATATAAGTTATGGAATTCATCTTTTGGTTTCTTCCGGGTGTAACGTCAGTGGTTGATATAGTATATCAGTGTGTGACGCCTGGGGCCTGCATTGACATCTGTCAGACTGAGAAACTCAAATGGGTATGCACTACACGTACTAATATCTAGAGGCAGACACGTTTAACCCAGACCATGAAAAGATTCAAGAAGCACAACCAATAAGTGTTATACATACCAACCAACTTGAAGAAAGTGTTTATCGGACATATCTCGCGTCTCTGCTGAGACGAAAAAAAAATGAACCTGTCTAACGGTCCCGATTGACTGTTGACTTTATTTATTTTATTTACTTATTTATTTTCATCTCAATTTTTTTCATGAAAGTTCTACAAGTGATGATTTCCTTTTCATAAATGAAATATCAAAGCTTTAATCACGCGGGGAAAAGATTCCAGGGCATACTGGTTATTGGCATTAAACTGTTATTTACAAGTTACATCTATTTTTAAAAATAAAGGACAAGAGGAAAACACTACACTGTTCGACGTGATGTTTGTGTTTACTCAACTCTACGGGGTTATTTTACATTACAAAATATATTTTATGGAAACATAGAAAATCCAAACAAATTCAGAGATTCATGTGGTATAATTGAGTGTTTTTGAAAATATCTAAGTCCGCGATATTATGTAGGGCGTAAGAATTGTACCTGCTGCCCCCAATTGCATGATCGTAAGAGGCGACTAAATTTGGGACCTTATCTCTTCTCTTCTTTCTAAATAACTTTCTTCTTCCTAATGTCTCTCTTGACAATGCCTCACTTTTGGTCATTTGTTGAGCGTTCGCCCCTGTGAGGAAGGTTTTGGGTTCTGTCCCCTGGCCGAGACATACCAAAGTCTTTAAAAATGGTAGTTTCTACTCCTGCTTAACGCTCAGCAAATTAGGAGTGGGACGACTGGTTCGCCCGTTGTCAGTATAATGTGACCGGGTGGGGCGTCCTGCTGGGTGTCTTCGGCAGTATGTCTCAGTGAGGTAGCACTATAAAGTCGGCATCAGTTCCGCGCTATCACAAGGAGACAAACACGAACATATCGCAGCCTCCCAAAATACACACACATACATTACACGCATGCATCTTGCACACAGGGGAGGCCGTCCTTAAATGACCTTAGCTGTTAATAGGACGTTAAACAAAATCAAACAAACAAACAAAAGCGATATTATATATATTTATGCAAAAATTATAGACAACAGTTCGGCAATACTTTCTATCACCAAATAAATCACCAAGCAATTATCTTACAATGAATTGAAGTATTTGAATTAAAATACTTAAATGAAGAAATTTAAAATGTATCGGTGGTAGGCCTATCGTTTCCGATTGATTTCCAAGTGTATTAGATTTTACAAAAAATTCAAGAACATCTAGGCTTCCATAAATGGCCAGGGCCCCCCTGCGACCGATTTTCGTGTATTGTCTGTGATTGGCCACAAATTTCGCGGGAAAATGTCATGTCATGCGTCACTGCGTAGAGATCAGTGATACGTGCAGAAATCGAGAAGCAAGAAGAAGCAACAGGTGGGTTACGTTGGTATGTGATATTAGGAATATAAAGAAAAGAAAATGAACTAAAGTTCTGTCTAAAATGCATTTGTAAGATATCTATGGAATAATAAATCACAAAAGCGCTCCAGACAGGTGGGACATCGCGTGGATGCAGCGACAATTAGACCTTTCAATCGTTGCTATCTGACCATAGGTGGTGGGCACGTCTATCAAAAAAAAACTGACTGGCCGCCATGTTTGCATCATGTGGAGCAGTGTGTCGATCACACACTTCAGTTGTTTCGCTCCTTTCTATGGATGTTCACTATCATTTTTGTATTAAATATCTGTTGTGGCAAAACACATGGCTTAGATCGAGCATGCGCCTGTCGGACTTCCTGTCATCGGCCATTTTTGTTTAGTTCGTGTGCTGAAATAATCCAGGGCCGAGAGGAATCCTGTAAGTTGTTGATGACGTAGGTCTTCGTGTTTGTTGTTAATTAGGCATGTTGCCAACATAACGGTGAAATTGTTCGAATTATAGCTAAACTATGTTGCTGGGACAATGCATTTGGCCATACCACTACAAGTAAACACAACATAAACTTCAGCGTGTTGAATGCTGTCACTACAAGGTAGAAGTAGTTTGTTTTGGTAACACCGAACAGTATTTCCATGTCAATATGGAGCTAGATGAGATAATTTTATTTAAAGTCGGTGGGCATTTTAAAACAAACATGAGCTCTATAGAGTTTTTGACCGACATACATGTTGCATAAAGAGACATTCATACTTGGATAGTAGCGATACAAATATTATTAGAGGTTATTATATGACCATTTTGATATCATATCCTTTATCAGCCCAAGAGCCCGAGGGCTGATAAGGGATATGATATCAAAATGAGGGCTGATATTGGGACCGAGGGCCGATAAGGGGATATGATATCAAAATGGTCATATTAAAAACTTTTTATCATATGTTCAAGTAACAAAAAATCAAGTCCACAGGAAAAACAATTAGATAATGTAATCAACAATGTCAACTGAAACAGATTATTACAAGATGATATTCAGTGCATTTTCCTTATCAATGAGGTCATCCAATTCAAGTATTCTAGATGCTAGAGAATGAAGTATTTCCTCTCCCTGGTTTGTTGACGTCTGCTCAACACACTGTCTAAGCAAAAAACCAACTGACGGCGCAAATCCGGGTTTTACTCGGAACGCTTCGGGCGCTTCTCATATCCAATACAGAAGTAGAGGTGTTCCGAACAGGGGGTGCATTACGAGAATTGTTATCGCATAGGGGGGTGCATTACGAGAAACTTATCACACAGGTGACCGGAAGTGGTATCAGGAGTGGTCAGAAGTTATCAAATATGCAAAAACACTCATATTCTGAGTAAACATATGATAAAATGAGATAAAACATTTCACATTTTCTACACATTTTAGTTGAAACAATACATCTAGCATATTTTAAAGCACATGATAAGATTCCATGTGATATAGTTATTAAATTAGCACTGATCTGATAAAACACATTTAAAATTGAGATATGAAAGGTGTGTAGAAGTGAGGGTGAGCTACTTGGAGCTTGCTGCCATTGTAAAATATGATTATTTTGCAACAAATCAGAGGTTTAAGTTTAAATAGCTAGACTATTAATTATGAACGCAATTCCTTGGCTTTCGAGACAGTCCGAGATACATCCTGTTGCTATGTCAGACATATCCAATGGTCACTATTACCGATGATTTAACTTGAATCACCATGTATTTCTTGTCCTTCTGGGTTTGACACTTACTTGGGAAGGAAGTAGCCCTTTTGGCTTGTTAATCTTGAATTCCACTAGCCTCGTCTGAATTGAACTAGTCTGGACCAGGAGAAAAGTGACTAAAGGCGATATGTATAAAAAAAAATGAACCAGGAAGCAATTTCCTGCTTTCGTAGCATATTTTGACAAAAGTTTCACGCTGTTAATTTTTGAGATTCTGCTTTTTCACAAAGACAGTTTTTAAATTGCTTGTTATTATTTTTTTCTTGTGTACCAATTTTTTCCTCATTTAACTAAGCAAAAAAATTTGTTAATTATGATATTATAATATTTTTTTTCTCTCCCATCAACAGATTTTGTAAGTGTGACACCTGGACGATAGGTCTGGCTACTATACATTGCCTGAGGTGATCACCAATATACTATAGGACTGTATCAAATGGAAAATAACTAGCCCTACCAACATTTTTACTGAAAGCTACTGTCAAAATGCCGTCTGAACTTCCGTGTTTGTATTTCTTATTTTGGTTGTAAGTCACTTTAGTATGAAAATAAAAAAACGTCTATTGAAGCCATCATAAATTATAATTAGACGAATCACACCCTGGTAATTGTGGTCTATTGTTCACGTTTCACACCTATATACGTAGTTAACATCCCCACAGATAAGTCTAGTCAGAGTTTGTTGATCAGGGTGTCGATCGTACAGAACAATAAAAAGCTAGTCAAATGAGGATGAGTCTAATTGGAAAGGGGAGAAGAGGTTAGGCCTATCATGATTTGGGAGAACTTGTTAGTTGATGTGTAACTGTCAAATGTATGCGTAACGGTAAAATGGTGATGCGTAGCTGCTCAAAATTCATGCATAACAGTACCGTTACGCTAAAACAGCCTGGGGAGAACACTGGGATAGACTTGATAGGTTATTAGAGGAAGCAACCGACATTTATTTAGGTGATTTTGAAGTCGATCTAGATGACAGGGTTGACGATATACCGCTAGAGACTTTGTTTAGAATTTGTCAAAATAATGGCTGATGAAGTTGAGTATTGGGATGAAGATACGTGGACAGATCAACTTGCTGCTAAAGTTGTCGACTTATACAATTCTTGGTGAAAACAAGAATGAAATTAACATGGGGATCGATGTAGCTCCAAATCAAGACATGTACTTTACAGAAGACAATTTATCGAGTTTGGGCTCAAATAACAAAAGGTTTTAACCAAAAAATGAATTGAAACAAAACTAAATTATATATTTATTTATGTGATGAACTTGAAAACAAATATTTAAATTGCGATTGTATTTTGACTGATATTTATGTGAATAAGGATTAATATTTTTGGAACAAGTTTTGAAAATTTGGTGAGTAAATATACAAGTATTCAGAAAGTTGCACCAGTTTATATATTTGTTGGTCATTTAAAATCTTAACTCCAGCCTCAGCAGCCATACTGTCTTAGGGCACCAACGCTCAGTGAGGTTCAAGGCAGCAATCTAAGATAGCTGCTAGGGAGTTAAATCTTTGTTTTGAGGAAGAAATTGCCGGTAGAATACTAGCGGTCTATCCATCAATTTTGACAATTTTAAAGACTTTTAGGCCAATGAAAACAACTGAAATTCCAGTTAAAACATCAAATAGAAATAGATAAAGGATTTACCACTTATTATATGTACAGTACTAGTCAACTACAGAAGAACATCGTTTTGGCCTGAAAAACGTCTCTGTTTTCAAACAGGAAGTGTTGTGTCGGCGCGACTAATACCGTAACCGGACAAATCCAAACCCGGATTTCAAGAATTTAAGAATACTTGATATAATTATAAATAATTTATGTTATAATAATGGCAAATAAGGAGAGAGAAAAAGACATATTTCATGAAAACCCTATTATTTATGAAAAATCAAGTGTGTTTTTTGTCAGTACATGTTTAACATTGGGCTAGTGGATTTCTAAGGTCTACTTGCCTGAGACAATTGCTTTTTTTGTTACACCCCTGTTGCTATCAGTCTGCAGGAGATAGAAAAGGTATGTTTACTTCTCTAACGGTAATGTACCGGTCATTGTCAATTTCTGAAGTACCTTTTCTCATTTTAAGCACGTCTCTTGGATAAAGTTATTTGCAAAATGACGCGTAGGTATATCAATATTTTGAGCTCACCTGGCCCTGGGCCAAGTGAGATTATGCCATGGCCCGGTTTCAATATCAAACAACTTCTTCTGAATAACCAGAAGGCCTAGGGTGATGATATTTGGGATGAAGGTCTACAAACTTTGTTCAAATAAATGACGTCGCATTTTCAAGGTCACGGGTCAAATATGTTAAAAACTTCAAACAACTTCTTCTAAATAACCAAAATGGTCAGGGAGATGATATTTGGCCAGAAGCATGCTGGAGTGAAGGGCTACCAAGTTTGTTCAAATGAATGGCCTTCACTCATATTCAATGTCACGGGTCAAATATGTTCAAATTCTTTAAATGACATCTTCTGAATAACCGAAATACCAAGGATGTTGATATTTAGCCAGTACCATACTAGGATAAAGGGCTACCAAGTTTGTTTAAATTTATGACCTTGAATCATATTAAAAAAGGGTATTTGGCTATATTGCTTTAAGTGACTTCTTTTCTGGAACTAAGAGAAATGGTGGGGCTGACCCCCCAAGCTAAGAGGTGGGGCCAAAAAAAAAGTTTATTACTTGGAAATGGTTGGGATATAACCATATATACAATTGTGGAGTTTAAAGAGAAGAAAGCACATTTGCTTCCAGGATGGCCCCAGGGTCTGGTCCCACCCTTGGAGACATAGTCCCTGGGTCGTAACTTTGAAACAGTTGAGATCCCCACCCCAAACCAATATATACAAGTGCTGGGCATTAAAAAGACTAATGTAGTCATGATATTAGAATAGACACTGGGGTCTGACAAAACCACTAGGGACCTAGTTTCTTGGTCACAGCTTGGTATCGGTTAAGATCCCCACCCTATAACCATATATACAATTGCTGAGTATGAAGAGATGAATGCTCATATGCTTCCGGGATGGCCTTGGGGTCTGCCCCACCCTTGGTGACTTGACCCCTGGGTCATAACTTTGAAATGGTTGAGATCCCCACTCCAAAACTAAATATACAATTGTTGGGCATAAAGAGATTAATGCAGTCATGATATTAGAATTGATCTTGGGGTCTGGCCACAACCCTAGGGACCTAGTTTCTGAGTCACAGCTTGGAAACATAACCCTACATTAAATTTCTGGGCATGAAAAATCGAATAGAGTCCGCAGTGCTCCAGATAGCTTGCTTGAATGCGTATTCACGCACGATAATTCACAAATTACGCAAAAGAAAAAAATGAACTTGCTTAATTCACGCAAGCAAAATCCGGAACATTGCATCAGTCTCCGGGACCAATTTAGCAAATTATAATATGCTTACATGCGAGTCACTGAGACGCTTGCATAGTACTCCTGTTACAAACGCTTATATGAGCGAGAATTGAATCATGGCGCTTTTAAAACAATCGCTATTTGTCACTTGGTCTCATCTCTTTCGCTGCGTAGTAAATTGTCCTAAATACAGAATTAGCACAGCCATCTGTTTTACTCTCAGTAACTTCAACATCGTCGATGTCTTCCATTAATGTTGTGACCTGTTTCACGAAGCGTGTTTCTTTTTTTAATTGAAGTTTCTTTTGTGATACTTTCGATAGCGGACAAGTGATACTCTGATTGTTCGTGTCGGGGTAAGGGCACTTTTTTGAATATTCGAGCAGCCCTTTGTGAAAACGTTGTCCTTCTTGTGTTTGGAGCCCGACGAACATTTCAAGTTCAACGAGGTTTGGCCATCCGTTTGACCAACAGTCTGGACCGTGACGTCAGCCACGGGAAATGGTTTTTCCATCCACACCCTATTATGATATTTTCCGACCCCATTTTAAATAGATATGTGTCATTTTATTTCCATTTCACTGTGATTGTGTTCACAGTGAAATGGAAATAAAATACCACATGGCTAGACAACACAAAAATATGAATTTGAGTCATTCTTAACCCTATATTAAAAGTTTAACACATACAAATGATTCAACGTCTTTCAACATTTTCAGGTAACATTGCTTTTAAAGCACTTCATCTTTCAAAATTTAAGTTTTCACCCCTCCACTTTGGAGAGGAAGGGGTAAAAAAAAAACCACATGTTCAAAAGTTATCGGGAGCACTGGAGTCCAGATATGCTACAAGGATTAGCCTTGGGGTCTGGTATCGCATAATCCCTTGGATCTCATTTAGAAAAATACTTTGCCATGATTGCTTAGATATCCAGGTGACCAGCATCTCGTGATCGATCATTTGGACAGATTTTTGAGCGAGTGTCAAAATATGATTTTCACAGTTGTCTTGGACTTTTGTGGAGCTCATGACTTCAGCCCTTTTTCTAATTGGTGTAATCTTCTTCTTTTTGAAATACTAACCCAATGCCAGACTTGCATTCACTTACTGCTCTGAATTGTTATAACAATTTTGACTCTTTTGAGTCATAACCAGAGGTATTAATGGCAATACTTTGATAACTCGAACCAACACTGATAGCAGTGGGCATATAGTGTAACTTGATTAAGAAGCTGCAGTTTTTGTGCGATTAATAATTCAATAATTGGAAAAATGACAGAATTACATTCATATTCTTCATAAATTGTTGTGTTCTTGCAGAAAATAATAAATAACCAAGAAGAGAAAGATGTCTGGAAGGGCAAGAGGGAGATCAAGAGGTCGCTCTCGGGGGAGTGGAACTCCCCAGGAGGAGCCTTTAAGGCGCCCTGGGGAGGAACAGCAAAGAGCTCAGGTAAAGGATTAAGAGAATTAAGTGTCCCGTCTCATTGGGGAAAAAGTGCCGACAAGGTTGGGCATGCATCTATTCACTCTTGGTTTATATATATTATTCAGCACTAAACAGCTTTATACAATATATCTCATTAAAAATCCCAGTTGTGTATACAAATTCTATTCATCTTGTTCGTTAATTAAACCAGTTATGTTATATATGCTCAAAAAATTATATAAAAAATAAAAGGGTCGGCTACTGATAATTTCTTATTATACTCCCATGATGAAATAATTTAATAAAGATTACAAAAAATATTGAACATTTTGAAGAATAAATATAAGGTGTCACTGAAATTCAGCTATCAATAAGGAGTCTTCGATGTGGTTTACAAAAATGATTTGTCTTTTACTAGTGAAATATATGGTTTTAGAGTATAGTAGTCATTTCCACTGTGATATATAGTGATATTTAAGTTTGACTGGTCATTTAGGCTAGCAGTTGTTCAGAACCACTAGTCCAGCTGGAGATTTCACTAGTCCTGGACTATCAGGCTAGTTCAACTGTGAGAAATATCGGCTTACATCACGAGAAATGCACACACTTTATGGCTTAGATGTATCAAAAATCAACAGGAACCACTCTATGATTAATAAGGGTCTTCCTGTTTCATCTTCTTTGTAAGCGTGTTCTATTGGTGGGAATAGTTTTCAAATACACTGTTTGTATCATACCTCTAGTTTCACAAACTGGACTAACAGTACTATTATTTTCTTTCCCAGCAACCATCAGCAGCTGCTGCAGCCCCCACCCCTGTTGGGGCCACCAGTGTAGCAGGTAGTGGAAGGGCCAGCTACCGCGGAGGCGTTGCAGCACCAAGACCAGGGGCAGGAGATGCCCCAAGGGCCCCAGTTGAGGAAATGGCCCAACTTCGCGTTGGAACTGGAGATGCTAGACAAGTTGGCAAGAAGAGGGCAGACTTCCGTTACACCGATGTAACAACACGACCAGCACATATAACAGACAAGAGGGGTAACCTTAAGAATTACTTTAATATTTTTGTCGAATTTGTTTCATTTCTACAGGGCATCATGTGAAATGACAAATGTCATATTATGATGTCCCTTAAAAAATAAGTCCATCTAAATTTTAGATTACTTAGACCTGCCCAAGTTCTCCGACTTTTTTTTTATTCTGTAAGAATTTAACAAAATATATATTGAATTGTTTCTATCAAAGACATTAATTTCACTCACTTCATATCACATTATCTTTGTCACATTGTTTTAAGTCTGAAAATACATACACTGTAATTTATAACTTATTTTAAAATATTTGTTGCCCCTCCATTCTTTGAAAGTAATGAAGGCACATCAGTTTTAATTACAACTGTAGTTCTGCTTCATTTTCATCACAGGAAATTCTGGAACCCCGCTCCCTCTTGCTACAAATTTTTTCACATTTGATTGTGATGAGGACTGGTCTCTCTACCAGTATCATGTGGATTTCAATCCGATGATTGATAGTCGCAAGATGAAGGCAGGATTGCTGTTCACACATGCTGAGCTGCTAGGGGCAACAAGAGTCTTTGATGGCATGATCCTATATCTGCCTCGTAAGCTTCCGCAAGAGGTAAGAAAGAAGGGCACAGTGTCATGTTATAGATACATAGATATAGGGATGAGTTAATGTGAATATTTAAAGTCCTTCTGGCTGGTGTAATCTTGCCAAGATAGGATGGTCGAGTGGTGCCGTGGATAGCGCACTTGCCTTTCACGAAAGTGACCAGGGTTGCATTCTTCAATCGGATGTGTAAAGGTATGGTCATCTACCTGACCACATTGGTTTTCTCCAGGTTCTCTAGTTTCCTCCAACATTAAGACTCCCCTGCGTGCTAAGATCTGGGCCAACGAGAGTGATTAATTAATATAAGTTGAAATAACTTGTTTCAAAATTGTTGTTAAATTAGTAAAGTTCATCTCATTTCTTTTTTAGTGAATAGTCGGATAAAAATGTAAGAGTTCTTCTTAAAAAAACAGAAATTGGATTTGAAGCTCTTTAATACTTCAAATGTAAAAGTTATACACGGAAAGTCCATTTAAATAAATACCTTAAATCCTTTAAAGACACCAAAGGATTATTTTTTGACATTTGAACCCAATCATTGAAATGAATGCATTGTGTTGAAATTAAATCGGGAGGATGTAAAGATAAGTTAATAGTGCCTCCTAGACCACTCAAAATAAGCAAGTGTATATGAAGAATTGTTCTAGTTCCGAGCACTTTTGAGAATAAAAAATGCCAGGCTGTGTCATTCCTGAACTTAACCAATTTGTCTTTTTTCACTTTCAATATGATAGTTTTAAACTTTTAAACTGATGTTGATAATATTTTTATCATCAGCTCATCACTAGGCGAGTGCACTTTCTACTTCACCACCTTACAACGTAATAAATATATAGACGTTGTTAAAAGTACTTTGAAAAGTTACCTGGGTTAAAATTATATTTAAAAATACATTTGACCCTTGCTAATGTTGCTCAAGCTCTTCATCATAATTCTGTACAGGTAACAGAGGTTTTCAGTCAGACAAGACGTGACAATGAAAACATTCGCATTACCATCAAGTTGACCAACACCTTTCATAGCACAAGTCCACAGTGCCTTCATCTGTACAACGTAATATTCAAGAGGTAAGTTTGAAATATGTCTGACAGTAACTGAACACATTGTAATGGTTTAAAAAGTACACTGTAAATGCTTAACCCTAATTTGGCTTAATCAATACCTTTTGTAGGTTTTGATGAACCGATAGTAATATTTTTGGAAATTTAACTTATCAGACGAACACTTAAAAATCATGCAACACTAAACTGTTAAAGTTACGCAAGTAAAATCATTTTGCAACATTAAAAAAGTTTTCTCTAACTACAGTTGGAAATGTGCAAGATGGATCAGATAAGTTGATGATTAAACAGCAAAGTATTTAATTTTCTACAGAATCCTCAACTTGATTGAAATGCAGCAAATTGGCAGGAATTACTACAATATGGACCTCGCCGTTGACATAACGCAACACAAGTAAGTTATTTCCATCACACCAAAGTTAAGCTTTAGACCCAGTGCTTCCTAGTTTGTGCTCTGAATATTCTCATTCCTATTTGGTAATTTTACTTAGCAAACTATGATTTTTTTCTGTCCATTAGCACACAAAAAATCTAAATATTGTAAAACATGAATTGCAATTTTCTAAAAGCTGATATGGGCAGTGATTCAGGATGTACTGTTTCACTAGAACAAATGCATAAATTGTTGGCGTAAGCAGCCTAACTTGAGAGCTGCTAATATGACTGGTACCTCCCAACATCTCCTATCAAGTATTTTCCCGAAAAATTCGTCTTAAGATGACAAAAGAGAAAATATTGATCCATCTGTTGTATTAAATGGCAATGAATACATAAAATACATAATATAGGACTTTGTTTCATGTTACAGACTGAGAGTGGTACCAGGGTTCATCACCTCAATTTTACAGTATGAAAATAAGGCTATGTTGTGCGCAGATATCTCCCACAAAATCATGCGTATTGACACTGTACTAGACATGATGTATGCCCTCTACAATTCAACCGACAGAAGCGGCGACTCGTTCTACGAGAAGTGTACAAAAAAATTTGTGGGCAGCATTGTTCTTACCAGGTAAATTTGTTTTGATTTTAAGGTAAGAAAAGGTGTAATCCGTAACGAAATGGAAATGAGATCAAGCTTTGTTTATTTAGATATTTTGATTTGACATTAAGTACTGGGTAGATATTAAATATTTTGTTAGTAACAGTTTGAGATCCAAATATATGAAAACCAAATGATACAGCAAATATTTTGCATGTCATTTGATACTCATCATCAAGGAGGCATTTTTAGGGGGGAAAGGTAATGAGGGCAAAGTAATCACTCTGTCTGTCCGTCCGTCCACACATTTTGTTCCTGGCTGGTAACTTTGGTATTTATTGACCGATTTACATGAAACTTGGTCAAGGTCATTAGGTTCAAAAGTCAAGGTCAAATTTTATATCTTTTCACTGATGAACATTTTGTTATGACATAATGAAGCAAAGTTGGTCGGTTTTTAACAAGGAGTTAACTGACTTCAGGACAAGGTCAAATATTGTATCTTTTTACTTATGTAGTTAAAGGTTATTATGAAGCAAAGTTGTTTGGAATTAAAGAATAAGTCAACTGACCAAAGATCGGAGTCACTCGGTTTAAAGTCAAGGTCATTTGGGTCCAAAGGTAAAAGACAAAGTGGATCTCTGACTTTGTCCATGGCTCTTGATGGGGGAAGTATTTAAGGTGAAATAAAACAAATCAAAGCTAACAAATGAGTATTGCACCGGTATTTACATTTCTGTTAGCCAAGCAAATATGGAGGTGGAAGGAAACGAGACTCGCATCATAACATGTAAAATGTATATTTCGTTTCCTTGCGATTATTTTTGAAGTCCAAATGTCAAACATTAAGCACAGCTATATGGGCAGATTGTTTCTTGATGATTATGGGGAATACATTGCCACAAGATGGGGCCTTTACTGACCTGTTGGTGTTCTAGTTGCTGTTAGGTCTTATTATTTAGTTTGGTGTATTTTAGCCAAGTAACAATGTTCTCAAGTTGTGTTTTTCCAAATTTATGCATACATTTGGTAATTTTAAGAATTCAAGCTAAGACTTGTCAAGTTTTACGTCTCAATTTTTTTGCATTCTTATTTCTAATTAATGTATCTGTTCTTCATTTGATTATAATGATTATAGTATTGTAAAGCAGAATTTGACTATCAGTCCGGTATTGCAATGTTGATCAATCAGGTTTTCAAATGGTCAAGTTTTCTTGTGGAAAATATGCCTAAAATGAACTTGTATGATTATACAGATACAATAACAAAACCTACCGAGTAGATGATATTGACTGGGATATCCACCCAACCAGCTCCTTCACCAGACGCGAAGGAGAAATTACGTTCAAGGAATATTACAAGAAGGTAATGGGGAAACACCGTTGTCTTTGCAGTTCATTCAGTCTTAAATCAACATTCCTGGGAAAACATAGTCCGGCCTGTTTGCAGAGTCCAGATTATAGTCTAAGAGTCAACATGTGTACAATGTCATTATTGGAACCAAATTCTGTTGAATGTTCACATACCCGATACTATAATGTTGATGTATATGTGGCTTTTAATGAAAACACTGAGTAGAATATAAAATCTTAGAAACAAAAGTAAATAATAAACATGCTAAAAGAGTAACAGAGATACCCTTGGCTAGAAGCTAACAATGGAATTAAACATCTTGTGTAAATACTTTCAGTATTTGTTTCTTTCCTAACAGGCATATGACAAAGACATAGAGGACGACCTGCAGCCCATGTTAGTGAGCAGAGCCAAGCCAAAGGAAGTGAAGATGGGACGACCAGAGACACTTCTACTGGTTCCGGAGCTTTGTATACTCACGGGTAGGTAGACAAAGTGTTGTCTTTTATGGTAAGTGAAATTCTAAACAGGATTGGCTGTGTCTTGCTTACACCAGCCTGATGTCGGGCTAGTGAATAGTAGATCATAATTTGTCGCAGTAAGATGTCTAGATAGTGAAATTAACGAGTCGTGTCCGTGAACTTTCAGGTAAAGTTTATACATGTATCGACTTTATATGCATGTTTAATACAGCAATATATTCCGTTTCATTTACAAGAAAAATGTTCTTCCTTCTTAGTTCTTGTCAGTTCCTACTGGTTATAAATAACACTTGGCATGTAAGCATATGTAATAAACACATATTCAAAATAAATAACAACAGCATATTTTTGATCGCACAGCTTTTCAGCGGTGTATCTCATTTTAGCTGCCAGTAGTACATTACAATAATATGGAAAGGTATTTTTTCTTTGACAAAAAGGCCAAAAACAAGGGCAGTCATGGGATATCCAAAAAGCCATGTAGAACAAAAACAGAATGAATAAAAAATATATATGTGAATAAAATATGAAAGATAATTCCAAACAGAAAACTGTACTTTATGACCCATGATTAGAGGTGATCACCATTCAGAGTGGAATTCAAAGCATAATATCCTTATAACTTGGGACTGTTGTTAGCCTATTATACTACTATTGAAGATTAAGGAGAATAATTGAAACTAAAAATAGAAATGGAAACACAATTTGAGGAGACGTGTATAAATGAACACATTAATGACATCCAAATGTTTTGAGATTCAGATTGTTTACCTGTAACATGCCAACACCAGTTCAACATATTTCATTTTAAAGAGATACAAGAACACAATCATTCTATGTTGATATAGAAATGATAATATTTACAAATAAAATGGAATTAATTTTCAATAATTTCATGACTACATCTTACAGTAACTATAAAATTTTCATTGAAAACAGCAGCGCTAGACATATAGTAAATAGGTAAATAGGTAGGGTAGAAATAGCTAATCCTGGTTCTATTCTTTTTAAACCCCGACCATTTTATTTGGGGGGGGGGGGAATGGGGAGGCATAAAGTGTCCATCCTATTCTTCCTAGATGGTGCTTTCGCGTTGACAAATTTTCATTTGTAGACAAAGATACAGTTACCATGTTTCCCCGTTTGCATTATGCATGTATCGAGATACACATGCTGTTGTGAACCTGTGTTAACTTGTCTACAGTATGAAGTTTAACTTTATAGGTCTCTCTGATGATGTCAGGAGTGACTTTTCTGTCATGAGAGATGTTGCCTCCCACACAAGGATTGCTCCAGAGGGCAGAGTCAATACGCTGTCGGGCTTCATGAACCAAATCAACTCGTAAGGCATAATTCTGTTTGTTCTGTGAAATTAACAATGTTTAATAAGATGAAGTTTTAACCTCTGAGAAAATATGCTTTAGACTGGGGAGGTGGACCTGTATTAACTGTACACATGCTCAGGCCCCAGGTCTCCAGGTAATGCTCTATCCACAAATGTAAAAAATAATAAGCATATGTGAAATTGCACATTTCTCTCAACGCATTGATGAACATGCAGGCCCAAAAATGGGAAATAGAGTTATCATTTCAAAGACAAGTTTTTAACTCATTCACCCCTGAAGACACATTTGAACTCTTCCTAATCAATGGTTGGAATAGTTCATTATGAAGTTTCAGGGGTGAATGAGTTAAATATAAGTGAAAGATTTTGACCATATTTTGCCCCCAGGAAGTAATGGACAGGGCCCATGAAGAAGATGGAAGGTTTATCATATTTAAATATGAATACAGTGGTTTTGCAGGCTGGATTGATAAAAGATCCAGTCAGACATTGAAAATAAATAAATCTTGAATCTGTTGATTGTTTAGAACACCTAAGGTTGTTGAAGAACTGAGAGGATGGAGGCTCAGGTTTTCACAGAACCTGCTACAGCTAGGTGGACGTGTCCTACCAAAGGAGCAAATCTTCCTGGCCTCTAATGCACAGGTAAAACAAAAACTTGAAATTTTATTTTAAAATAATATAAGTTGATTTTCCCTAGACAGTTTCCGTTATGAATTCATTGTTATGCCAACTGCACTTAATAATATTCTTTGAACTTTACTTGTCAAATATAAAGTGATGTTTAGTGATAAAATGATTGGTATACAAAGTTTTTACTTTTGGCCATAGTATGTATTGTATACTGAAAACAAAAATATAGACAGTAAAACCCGACTAACTCAAACCTATAGGGTTCAGATCATTTATTTTAGGAATACATGGTAATGTATGAATCTGAGGTTGATCCAAGATCGTCATCAAGAGAAAAAATGTGTTATATATAGCATGTTCCTTATTGTGTATGATTTAGGCAAAAAAAAGGGAGATAATAAAAATTAATGCATTCAGTTAGATGTTGATCTTCTAAGACATTGAGCCACCCATTTACTAGAAAGTAAGTAAATATCTGCATGTTATGCACATTTCTTTAGGTTAATGTGACAATATCAAGAATGGGCTGCGCACATTTAATTCAATGTACTTTTTGCAGTGTAACTACAAGCAGGAGGATGCTGATTGGAGCAGGGATCTTCGTGGGAAACAACTGGTTACTAGTGTGCCCCTTCAAAATTGGGTCATCTGTTTCACAAGGCGTGATTCAGGTAACGCCTCTGATCTAGTGAACACGCTCTGCAAAGTGGGACCTCCGATGGGCATGTCGATCGGTAATCCAACACTGTAAGTAGGCTGGTATTGTAAAGCTGTATTTATCCTCAGATCTTCAGTTGTAAACAATTCAGAGGTGATTGAAGCTGATCTTTGAACACTTTCATAGGAGTCTCCCCAATCTGCTCTTGGCCTAATTACTTGCATACTCCGTCGGCTACAATTTTCAAATTTCTAACCCCCTCATCCTTATGTTAACTGGTGCCTATACTTGCCAATAGGAAACGTTTTTCCCCTTTCTGAACAGGCATTAGCAACAGCTAGAAAGGTTTCCCATGCTCTTAAGGTGTGTAACTAGTATAATAATCTTATCACTGTCATTTTATCTCGTTACAAAGATGCGAGTTGAATGATGACCGCTCTTCAACCTTCCTCGACAATATGAAGAAGTTTGTGAATCAAAATACACAGCTAGTCATGTGCATCCTGCCAACCAACAGGAAAGATCGGTATGATGCTATCAAAAAAGCCTGCTGTGTCGACCATCCAGGTACGTGGGCTGTCATTGGTAGAATGGTCAAATTATTCAGGAAGGGTAATCTTTCAAATAGGATGAAGCATAACTTTCACTGCTAAACTCGATTGTGAAAAGTAAACTTAACAAGTGATTCATTCATATGACAAACAAATGCATGGTCAAACATTTTTTATAACTTGTATTTTGTGAAAGGTCCAAGGGTGTGCTTATTATGTGATACCTCATCTGTTGTCCGTTTTACATCGTTTGCATTTAACTACATCTCCCAATTATTAACCATAATTCGTTCAGATTTTGGTTGTTAGTATCCTCAGGCCATGGATATCAAAAAGACTGATCCCAGAGGGGGCTGAAGGACTGGATCTTAAGTGGTCATATAGGCTGATTTGCTTTAACTCCTTCACCCCTGAAGTTTCATAATGGACTACTATTCCAACCTTTGAATTGGAAGAGTCGAAATGCGACTTAAGGGGTGTGCAAGTTAAATGTCATCACCCAAAGTACTTGGCAGAGCTCAATCAAATTGTAGTGGTTGCATGCGCATTGGGATCAAACGTCTTAACATATGAAGGGTCGACTTATCTTATGGATTAAGTGATGGAGTAAGCAGGTCAGATTGGCTGATTTGCTTTAAATTGCATCTCCTCCCAGTATCTGAAAGTAACTTTCCCATACACAATAGGTCTAGAAAAAATATTCCATAGCCCAAGACAGTTTTCCCGCGACCAATCTTGTAATCCAGTATCATTAAAATAAACCATAAATGAATGGTGGATGAAATTAAAACATCCAAATAAATGCAATTTTTACACATCTGTTCATTCATTTTGAATTGATTGATTGATTGATAGGTTTTACGTCCACTTCACTACTGAGTTTGGTTATCCAGCAGACTTTTATTTTGAATGCATGTATTCAAGTTTAATAGTCCCCTACCGGTGAAACCGGGGGGACTATAGGTTTTGTCTGCGTCTGTCCGTCGCCAAAATCTGCAGGTTAAAGTTTTGTAATGGCTTACCATTCACTTAATAATGATATTAGGATGCTGACTCTTAGCATAGAGGTTCTTTAGGGGTCTAGCATTAATGCTGTGGATTGAAAATGAAAAATAATTTTTATTTTTTAGGGAATTTTTGACATGTTTTGGACTTGACTATCCTGGCCAAAATCTTCAGGTTAAAGTTTTGTAATGGCTTACCATTCGCTTAACCTTTTGCCACATGCTACATTATCTCAATGTAAGCGCTTCTCGATGCCGCTACGTTATCTCAATGTAAGTGCCTCTCGGCGCCATGCCGTTTCGGTAAACTTAGACATGGAAAATTCCGTGATTGAGAAGGACACCATTTGGAAATAACCTATACTATTTTTAGAAGATATTTAAATGCATCGACCAATCAGATTTGTACACGTCATTCCTACGAATAGTTTTGAATAAATTAACCTAGAAACTGCGAGTCATGAGTGTAGAAAAGTGTCACAACAGTGAGCCGTGATGGCGACTGTCACAACTATGTTACGGGACATTTTTGAGGAGGAGGAGGAGGATTAATAGTTTAATGGCTTCAGCCCTGATGACATTGAGTCAGACATCGATCTTAACGATGTTTTTGAATGAACTGTCATCAGAAATAAGTCTGAAAATGATTATGTAAAAGATGAACAGCGACCGGGTGTACCGCCGCCATTACGGCATTAGGTAACGACGACTCTGAATGGTCTCGAGATTTTTCACC